CCCCAAAACCCCAAAACCCCAAAACCCCAAAACCCCATTATTGAAAGTGTCGTAAAATCGCATAGTTAGGTTCATTAATTTGTGCGATTGAAAAATACGAATAAGAGACAATATTAAACTAAATTAGTAAAATGAATATTTTAAAGTTCCTTGGAAAGGGCAAGACTTAACACGGAGTCTCTGCTGTTGGATTGAACAACGCTTCACGCCAATTCTCATAAGTTATTTCTAAAAACTCACCAAGTTCAAGCGTAAGACTAGTACATTTAAGTAATGAAACTTTAGGGATCAGAGAAAATTGGAAACTATACTGTCATTGATCACACATATGATGCTATTGTCGTTGGCGCAGGTGGTGCTGGACTCAGAGTAAGCTTTTTTCCTTGGTTCTCAAATTTTTCATCTAGGCAGCTTTCGGTTTAGCTGAGGCAGGATTCAAGACTGCATGTATCTCAAAATTATTCCCAACAAGATCCCACACAGTTGCTGCCCAAGTAAGAATCACCTCCCTACTATATTATATCAATTAAAGATAATATTTTATTAATCTCAATGTCTTTTTTAGGGAGGAATCAATGCTGCCTTAGGTAACATGCACGAGGACGATTGGAGATGGCACTTTTATGACACTGTTAAAGGAAGCGATTGGCTCGGTGATTAAGATGCTATTCATTATATGACCAAAGAAGCTCCAGATGCCATCATTGAGCTTGAGTCTTATGGTATGCCCTTCAGTAGAACAAAAGAAGGAAAGATCTATCAAAGAGCCTTCGGAGGTCAGTCCAAAAATTTCGGTACTGGTGGTCAAGCATATAGATGTTGTGCTGTTGCAGATAGAACGGGACACTCTATGTTGCATACTCTCTTCGGTAGAGCCCTCGGATACGATTGCATTTTCTTCGTTGAGTACTTTGCACTTGATTTGATCATGAACGGCAAAGATTGTGTAGGAATTATGGCATACAACATGGCTGACGGAACTATCCACAGAATGAGAGCAAACCAAACAGTTATTGCTACTGGTGGTTATGGTAGAGCTTACTTCTCTTGCACATCAGCTCACACATGCACTGGTGATGGTGGCGGTATGGCTGCTAGAGCTGGTCTCCCATTAGAAGATCCTGAATTCGTTTAATTCCATCCTACAGGTATTTATGGAGCTGGTTGTCTTATGACTGAAGGTTGCAGAGGTGAAGGAGGTATTCTTAGAAACTCAAACGGAGAAAGATTTATGGAAAGATACGCCCCAAATGCCAAGGATCTCGCTTCAAGAGATGTCGTCTCTAGATCAATGACTCTTGAAATTCTCGAGGGTAGAGGAGTCGGCCCAGAGAAGGATCACATCCATCTTCACTTGAATCATTTACCCCCTGAAACTCTCGCTGAGAGACTTCCAGGTATCATGGAAACTGCTCATATCTTCGCTGGTGTCGATGCTACCAAAGAACCAATCCCTGTGCTTCCAACTGTCCATTACAATATGGGAGGTATTCCAACAAACTGGAGAACTCAAGTACTTAGACAAAATCCAAACGGAGGTGATGAAATCGTCAACGGTCTTCTTGCTTGCGGTGAAGCTGCTTGTGCTTCAGTCCATGGTGCTAACAGACTAGGTGCAAACTCACTCTTAGATTTAGTTATCTTTGGTAGAAGAGCTGCCCACACTACTCAAGAGCATTACAAGCCAGGCCAAGCTCAGAGAGAGCTTCCTAAGGGTGCTGGTGAGGAAACTATTGCTAACCTTGATAGAATCAGACATTCTTCAGGTTCTGAGCCAACAGCCAAGATTAGACTTGCCATGCAAAAGACTATGTAGAGACACGCTGCTGTCTTCAGAAAGCAAGACTTACTTGAGGAAGGTTGCAAGAAACTTGATGATATCACTCAATAGTACAAACACATTGGAATTAGTGACAGAGGTAACATTTGGAACACTGATCTAGTTGAAGCTCTAGAGTTAGAGAATTTACTACTTCAAGCTAAAATGACCATATTCGCTGCTGAGAACAGAAAGGAATCAAGAGGAGCACATGCCAGAGATGACTTCCCAGATAGAGATGATAAACACTGGATGAAGCACACTCTTACATACTTGAGTGAAGTTGAAAAAATTCCAAAGATCGAGTTTAGAGCCGTCATTCATGATACTCTCGATGCCAATGAGGTCCAAACTGTCCCACCTAAGAAGAGAGTCTATTGATTCAAGTGGTACATCTCATTATGTAAAAATCAAAATCTATGGAGAATTATCTCTGCAGATTATATTTAAAGTTAAATTTAAACTTCAAATATATCGTAAATTATAACACATTATGACAAATATCCATGAGTTATGCACATATTTGGATTCATGGGGTTTTGGGGTTTTGGGGTTTTGGGGTTTTGGGG